CACCATACTTGATGTTAGGTCATTCACTTCTACTGCATCAGTCTGTAGGTCATCATTTGCTTCTCCTTCCATCTTGTCCTCTAAATGATCACTTGGCAGTTTATTTTGTTTGCAGCTCTCATGGATTAGATCCTCCTCTGGTTGATGTTGTAGTTGCACTGGCTTTTCCTTGAGATATTGATCTAAGTTATCACTGAGAAGTGACAACATGCCTGACATATTCTTTTCGGTTGTAGGCTGTTGTATATATGCCTTTCTCTCAGTGCAAGCTTCTTGGAATGGAGTCTCCAATACAGGACTTGGTGTTTGTTCTTTGACTTGAACCACATTAGTCACTGCCCGACCATGTGTCTCTGTAATAATCTTATCCTCTATATCAGCACTTGAGGATTTGCGAATTTTGGTGTGAATAACTTGCTCAAATTTCTCCTGGACAATGTCCTCCTTTGGATGCTCACTTTTCACTGGCCTGTCCTTCAGGTACTGGTCTAAATCACTGTTCAGCAGTGACTGCATACCTGACATTTCCTTTGCTTTTGTAGACAATTCATATGAAGTCTTCTTCCCCATCAACTCTTCCTTCATTGGTTGTTCTTCAGTCACAGTTTGGGTTCCTGTAAAGGTACTCACCACTTCTTCACCTACCCTTGTGACTTTATCTATTTTTTGTGTTGTTTCATCCATTGTTTCTTCATTTTCATCCATGACAAATGTGTATATTTTTTCATCAATGTCCTTTGTTAGAATAACTTGTTCAAACCTTTCCTGAACAATATCTTCTCCCGATCTCTGTCTGTCCAAGGGCCTAGCTTGCAGATACTGATCCAAGTCAGTGTTCATCAAGAGCAACATTCCTGACATATCTTTTTCTGATGTGGATGCCTGGCTTGAGGCTTTCTTTGATATATGGATTTCTTGAAGTGGTGGCTCCTTGATTTTGCTCTGTGTTACTTCAGTGTCAGTTTTGTTAAGGCGTTGTTTGCTTCCATTAACAACTGTGTTTTCCTTACTTGCTTCATGAATGTTCTCTTCCACTGACTGTATGATGTGCATCTCCTTTCTTCTAGTAGAGGAAGTAAACATTTCATTGGTCATTTGGTGGGTCACTGTGAGACCTTCAAAAATCTCTCTCTCCTCTGAAATTGAATAAGAAGCCCCAATATTAACATCAGTTGCTGAGGGTTCAGCCATGCCCTCATGCTTTAGACTCTCAGGACTTTCAGGACTTTCATCTTCCCTGAAATGTGTTTTTAAACATGGACTGTGGACAGATGCTGGATTTGCATCAGAATCCTCAGTCAAGGTTTCCTCATCAGGTGCCTCCAGCTGATACCGGATATCTGCAGCTGCTGATGACTTCTTGAACAGCTGATACTCAGGACTTTCCTCCAGCTCAGCCTTTATGTCTGCACTGAAGTCCTCTGAAGGTCTGCGATCAGGGCTGATCTGTGTTTCTTCAGATAAACTTCTAACAATGCTTGTCACTGGTTCTTCTAAGTGCATCCTGCTTAGATCCCTAACAGATGACTGTCCATTATCTCTCTGAGGGCTAAACTTTCCATTATCAAGCTGAGTTCTTCTCTTTGGTGTTTCTCCAAAATAAGCAATAGCTGAAATTTGTTGGGATTCCTCAGGATCATCTCTTGTTAAGCCTACTGTTCGAGCCTCTAAATCCGGTTTTCTCTCTTGTGATTGGAAAACTGTGATATTCTGTATTTCAGTTTTCAACTTTGGCTCCTGCAAACGTTTTTCAGTAATCTGAGTCTCTTCAGGCCCAACTGAATCAAACAGTCTAGCTTCACTTTTCAAAGAGTCCTGCTCAGTATGACTGTGAGTTTCAATTTTTAACTTTGAGTCTTGCATTGCACTCTGTTCAGTGGTTTCAAACTCTTTAGAATCTCCTGAATAAGATATTAATCTTGAAATAGAGGAAGGCATAGCTTTATGGTCAAAAAGTTCCAGTGTAGATTTTGAGGGATCCTGTCCATTCTGGAATGTTTTCATCAGCTCCTTAACAGACACTGTCTGCTTCTTTGACAACTCTGCCATCTCTCTCTGTGGGCTGATACGTCCAGAATCAGACTGAGCTGTCTCAGCAAATGTTACTGTCTTTGCCACAAAGGCACCATCTGAAATGACAGAGTTATCTCTGATTAAACTTACTGATTGATCTTCTATGTTGTCATGTATGTTGGAATCACTCTGTGAAGAGAAAATTGCGAGGCTCTGAGGTTGGCTTTGCAACTTTGGCCCCTGTGCAGGACTTTGTTTATATGTCTGTATCTCTTCAGAATCTGTAGATTCAGATATCAGTGTTGAAACACAAGAAGTCACAGTTTTGTGCTCAAAGGGCCTGGCTTTATTTTTTGGGTCATCCTGTCCAGTTTGGAATGTTTTCATCAGCTCCTTCACAGACACAGTCTCCTTCTCTGACAGCTCTGGCTCCTCTCTCTGTGGGCTAACACTGCCATCATAACATTGGACTGTATCAGCAAATGTTACTGTCTTTGCAGTATAAGCACTGTCTGAAATCAATTGTGATTCCTTAGAGTTATCTCTAATTAAGCTTACTGGTTCATCCTTTATTTCTGTTTGGTCCAATTTCTTGACATCACTCTGCTGTTGGAAAATTGGGACACTGTGAGTTTGGTTTTTTGATTTTGGCTCCTCCGTAGGACTTTGTTCCATTGTCTGTATCTTTTCAGCATCTATTGATGTCAGCGCTGAAAGACAGGAAGGCATTGCTTTGTGTTCAAAAAGCCCAGATTTACTTTTTGATGGGTCTTGCCCAGTTTGGAATGCTTTCATCAGATCCTTCACAGACATAGTCTCTTCCAGTCTTTCTGTCTGAGATTTAGGGGACCTAGGAAGCCTGGGGAGTTCTGGCATGACTTCCTCTGTCTTCTTCGTAGAGACAGAAGATTTTGCGTCATGTGTTAAAATTTCAGTATTTTTTTGCATCTCCTCTTCCTCAACTTTGTTCTGTAAAGCTTTAACTCTGTCCTTTATAGATCCTATAGGTGTCTCAACCACTAAAGGAGAAGCTGGCGGATCCATAACTGGGGTGGGTACAAAGCCACTTCCATTAAGAATAGCATCGCCATCTAAAGACTCCACAGAACTCATCCTTTCCAGCTCTCCCTCAGAGCTGCTGTATGCAGAACGCTCTCTGTCTCTGAGTTTCTTCCTAATAGGTTTCTTGATATCAGGCGGGCGACGTTTTCCATCACGCTTTAAAATGCCCTGTTCAGACCTGTCTTGGACAAGATCTTCTTGAGAAGCAAATGTCACAACAGGTCTCGGTTCCAGGCATTCTTCCATGTCCAAGCTGAACTGTGAGACCAAGCTTGTCATATGTCTGACCTCAGTGTATGAGCTACTTACATTTTTTGTCTCACTGCAAGTCTCCTGTAAGACTGACTCTTCAAAAGCTTTTGCTTCATAGCGAGAAAATTTTTTAGCATCATCTTGCTGGGCCCTCTGTCTAGTGTTGTTCACCCCATCTTTTTGAATTTCTCCAACCCTTCCTAGCCTGTCTTTGATCTGTTCCACAATGACCAAAGACTCTTTTTCCTCCAATCCTCTAGCTCCAGCTCTCTCATCATACATATCTGCAGTAAAAACTGCAGCTATTTTGATGTCCGACATGTCTGAGAGGATGTCTGGGCTTGCAAGTGTTGCAGGGTCAAGAGGTTGGTTAGTTCTCAGGGAGAATGTCTCAGTTGATTCAGACTCATCATCTTCAATAAAAAATGTTTAAGAACCAAAAAGGGTACATAACATAAGGGACAAATGAAGTGGGAAAGAGAGACATCAGAGACATCAGAAAATGCCATCAAAAATCCATCTTCAGTTCACAGAGTAAGTAGAAGACTGACTGGGCAGAGAATAAGGGAGTCTTGAAAAGAAGACCAAAAAGAAGATGACAAAGTAGTCCATAAGAGTTTGAAAGGGAGTAGAGCAGCAACAGCATAAGCAAAGCCAGGAGGATAACGAAACGGGTAGAATGTGGATAAGAATAATATTAACTATCCAGTTTGTTGAACTACATATTTAGAAATTCAACACATAATATACAAAAGCATCAAATGGAACAGAGAAACTTACGTATGGAACAAAAGGACAAGAATGAAGGATAACAGACAAACAAAACTTCTCAAGATTGTTGCTGCTATAAAGAGTTATGTCTACCTAAAGACTGAAATTTAAGAACATAATAAACTTTGAATAAAAAAAAAAAAACAACATAATATGAACTTTTTAGTAAGAGGAGGTGTGAGGTGAGCAAACACTGTCAAATATTAGGATTGATGCTACTGATTTTGTTTTAGCTTGTTTTAAACTTAATCAATGTCCAGCCATACTCGAAAAATTACATTATAAAAAAATTGCATTCATGTTTTATTTCAGATGTGTGCTGGTCCATGGGTATCAAATATCATTACAGGTTAAAATTTGTATATGTATAAGTGTAATATGTTGCTGTTTTGCGACCTTATAGCACAATTAGCTCACATACAAAAATGAAGTAATGATAATGAAAAGAAATGTAGAACTGGTTTATACTCCAAACGAATGAATGAATGAATGAATGAATGAATGAAAGCAACTAAGGAAATATTGGAAATGAATATGAAATATGTAGTTGAGGTAAATACTTGAACAAAAATAGGAGTCACCAAAATGATACAAAATGAACTATGACAATAGGAATAAACCAGCAATACATGTAAACCCTTGAAGTAAGAACAAACAACATGATGTTGTTTGTCAAATATTTCTGTTCTGAATAAATGCTGATTTTCAGCATGCCACAAGTAAAACTGTTAGCGGATTTCCCTGGGAAAATAATAACTGGTCAAAATGAATACTTCTTACAGTGGATTGCCAAGAAAGACAATTCTTTTTAAGTTAACGTGAACTTCAAGCACAATTACAATGGAACTCGAAATAATATTGAGTAGATTTGAATAAGAAAGTATTATTTTGACCTTTTTTGTGATAAGTTAAAAAAGCAGAAGGTCAGAGCAAATAAAAATTAAAATGCTAAGGAGAGGAGAAAGTCAGTAGAGTCTGGAGTGAGGGGAACACAGAGTACATCAGCCATAGCATAGCTGCCAGTATCATGTCACTACACACAGTGTTAGTAGGGCAACAAAAAAAGAGCAGGGTTAATCTAAATGGAAGGTAACATGTATCAATCAGTGCATTTCTCAGCAAATACAGTTTGTAATACTTCTAAGCAAATACTTCACAACCTTTATGACCAATGTTAATAAAGTGTGGTGTCTTCAGTTTACACTGTGTTGTACTGTGGCATGAATGTATATCATGCGTTCAAATCCTACGGTCTACTTGTTCAAATGCTTAAACCACTTAAACTAAGTTGATCTCTTACACTCAACAATGAGACAAAAATATCGCAAAATAACTTACATTTCTTGTCACTCTTTTCGCTCTACAAAACAAAAGATCAGTGAGGCAGAGTTGTTACAACATGATTATGATATTCTTTCTTTGTTGCAGTACTCTGTTGAATGAACTTGATTTACCTCATCGTCTGCATCTTGGTCTGAATCAGACTCCTAAAAAGAAGAAATATAACACAGAGAAGAAAGTGATGCAGTCACTATACATAGAAACAATACACTATCATTCCATAAATACAAACTGAGATAGATTCAACCTGACCTTTGAGTATGTTGGCAGGGTGATGTTAAGGTTGCAGATAGCATTGTGGTTAAGACTGCGGTATGTGCGAGGTTCCTTTGTGAAGGACAATCGACCACATGGCTCCTGTGCTGTGTCTCTGATCTGTTCATTTATGGAAACAAGTCTGTTAATGAGCTGCATGTATTTGGACTTCAAAATCTCTGAGTTAAGAGGGTGAACATTTTAGAAACGTTAAATGATTTGTAAAGTCATACTTTAATGAAGAGGGCCAGTCTGTTCTCTTTGAAGGCAAAGAAGCTGAACACATGGTGCTGTCCACTCTTCGTAAGAGGCACCAGGTTTCCAAAGCAGTCAGCAAATATAGGTTTTCCCTCCAGCACCTGTGTGTGAATATGACAGTTGTTTTCATTGCTCAAACAAACCAATATGCTCTACTTCCAGTCTGTGAAAACATTATTTATAGATTTTTAAGGACATGAATAAACACCTGTCTGACTCTACCAATTTCCGTGCTATTTACTATAAAATTATTTAAACTTTCTTCATAATTGGCTTCCATCACTGTTTATACTTCTGCACTGTAACTACAGCCTAATTTACTAATACATCTCATTCCGTCTTTCCCACACCTTTCTCTCTTTATAAATATTCCCCATCATCATACTGCACCTCAACATCTCGGCTGCGGGCAACTTCAGTGAAGTTCTCCTGCTGCTCTAAGGTTTTGTCCATTTTGTCATCTGTCATACAGAAACAGCGCAGACGTGCCTCGATGGGGTCCAGTGTCTTGGCAAAAATGACAAACTTAGCCATGTATGGGACACAGATGATTTCTCTGTACAGCTGAGAGCCAAAACTAACAGACTCCTGGATCTGTCTGCAGTCTATCAGCCAGAACCTACGAATAGGAATGAGAATTTTAGTTAGGAACTAAAAAAAAAAAAAAAGAAAAAGAGTACTGCAGTGTTAACCTTTAAGTGTAAGACTGCTGACTCCACATTTAAAAAAGAAACAAAGGATTTACCTTGCTGATACATTTGTGGTGAAGGAAACACATTGGTTAACGAAGGTGAGCGGTGTGGAGCCGGTGATGTCCTCCCATTGGGCTGGAGTGGTCCCACCTGAAACACAAGCCAATGATTTGTTATCCAACCTGGTAAAATGGTTCACTTTTTTTGGCATTATAGAAGGAAAAAATGAGATGGGATTTGTCTTGGCTTTTCAACCATATACGAATGGACATAAATCAAAAAACACAGATAAAACAGACATATCACATTACATTGGTCAAGTTGATATATTCATAGGACACATTTAGAAACAACAAATGTTAGACCACAAAGCTTCAAAGATAGATGCTAAACAATAATCACACAAACACACAAAAACTATTAAGAGGATATAGTACATTAATAAAACTTTTTTTTCTAAAATCAAAACACAATGAAAAATTGCACAGGCAGTAAATAAAGTACCACTAATAATTGTAAACGGCAGCACATTTTTAGGTTTTTACTCAGACTATCTGACATTATTTCAAGCAGGAAGCTGTTTTAATTTTAATGTTGTTTGCTGACACAATGATCAATTATTCCCCATACTTACCTGTAATGCTGCAAAGCAAACGTAAAGTCGGGGTCTCCCCACTGAACACTGCACTCGGCCCGTCACTGTTTGAGCTCTTTGGAATAGGGATTGTCATTGTGATTGGTTTGTGGAACTTCCTCCTTCTTGGCTCCAGAGTGACGATAGGGCTGAACGTAGCTTTGTTACCAAGAATCTTTCTCACCATTTCAACATCGATGGGCTGAGCCTAAGACAAGGGACAACATGGGTGACCATTTTGTTGAAGCCATAATTTGGAGTATTCTAGTCTTCCACTGCTCCTATTCATCTGCTGTTCAAGGAATGTGCTGTATGTACCTGTAGCCCAACTCTAATCTTCTTAGTCAGGGCACCTTCAGGGAAGACAGCCTGGACCTGGGGCACAAGAGTACTACTGAGGACTCCACCCTCTGGACCAATCAAATGACTGTCCTGCTTTATCCTGGACACCACAGCAAAATACTGTGGGAAGTCTCTGGTGATGATGCGGCATATTCTTTTCTTCTCAAGCTCCTCAGGAGAGTCAAGTTCTGTAAAGATTAGAGATATATAGTATAAATACCATGCTTTACAGTTTCCCTAATTATTTATTTCACTCTGTTTTCCATTACACTATTATTGCATCATTTTACCATCTAAGAGATAACTCTTTCCTGCTTAACAAGTGTACTTTAGTCTGTTTTACAGTTAAGTGTGATCATACTGTAGAAAACTTTCTATGCTGATGTACTTCCACATGTTGTTTCTTTCAAAATGCTGTGTGATAAGATATCGACAAAAGAGTCAGTGTTTGGAACAGTCCATTTAAGTTCCCTTACTTTCATCCATGCCATTTAGTATCTGGTTCAGCTCCTCTTCGGTGAAGTCACAATGGTGTTCCTTCCAGCTTTCCCCTGTTTCACTCCTCAGGATCACCAACTCTCTCTCTGTGCCCCTCAGAGCAGCAAAATGAGGAATCTCTACAATCACAGGCCTAAAAGAGGTGAAAAAGTAAAGTCAAATACAAATTGAGCTTTGTGGTAACTGTCTGTCAGAGTTGACTTGAGAAATATTAAGAGATTGTAAGGCATATGCATGGCCTTACAAAGAAAAAAAAAGGAACATGATTAAAATTTGAGCATGTCATGCCAAGTCAAACAAGCAGTAATGAAAAGCAATTTGAAAAATATTTAAACATAAAATCATGATCAAGAGAGGAGAGTCCAACTATAAACATGACCGGGAATAAGTGCTGGAGACTGATCAAGCATGGAGGTAACTTAACATACAGCAACAGAACAGGTGGCTTCAGATCAAGAGTTCTTTTGTAGTAGAAAAAAAAAGGAAAATAATACAATTTAAAAAAAAAAAAAAAAAAGCTACTAATAAATCATGAAAAACTCAAAAAGTATGTAGTCTAAGTTGGTCTTGGTGAAAAATATGGGTGGGCCTGTGACCCGGACTCCAGGGTGGCAGGGTGTCCCCCCTCCCATGGTCCTACCCGAGGAACTTGGTTCCTGGAGGACCCAGCTGCAGGATGCGACTGACCAGGCTCTCACCCTCATTCAGAGGGGGTGGAGCTGTAGGAAGGTGGAGCTTACTGATCCATACGCAGCACAGAGGAGGAGCGAAGAAGAAAGTATGAACACACCACACAACTGTGTAAACACACTCACACAAGCAAAGATACACACACACAAACTCAAACACACAGTTAGCACACACACATATATACTTACCCCAGGAACTGGGCTCCGGTGGGTCCCACTTCTATGATGCGACCGGCCAGCCCTTCACCCTCCACCATGGGGGGCATAGAGGCCAAACGATGTCTCTTCACCAGTCTGCATGTCACCCGTGTGGGTGCAGAACACTTTCTTGGCGGCACAATGATCCGAAGGCCATTGTGACGACATCCACGCATAGCTCCGCCTCTGGCATCTACCATGAAGCTGACCAGGAAGCTAAAGAAAAAGGGGTAAATTGGTTGCTGAACACTCGTGTGACAAATGCAAGATTTCTGACTCAGATTTTTAGTCTGGGAATAAACCTCCATGCAGACTAAGCAACCGAAGCAACTGAAGCAAAACCGCAAAGGGCAACTTTCATGACATGAGTAGAGATATTAACAGTGCGTAAATCTCCATAACAAGATATTTAATTCTGGTTGGTTGTTTTCAGTCCTTGTCAGATTTAGTCCACTTCCACTATTCAAGTAGCAAGACAGGCAAGCAAACAGGAGGACCGTGAATAAAATTCTCTCTTGACATTGCATGATGTCTGGCAAGCAGGTGCTAAAGGTAATACCCAGATTTTCAAGGATAAGAAACTTGGTTAGAACATGTCTAGTTAACAAAGCCTGAACCTGGATTATGTAAAGACATGCATTTTGAGACCATGCTGATAAATAGGATGGGAATGAAAAGTTCATTTAGAAAAAAAGGTAAAGACAAGAAGTAGAGAAGGCAAAGTAGCTGAAATAAAGAGTATCACCTGCTGTTGTCATGGTCTAGGCATGGAGAGGAACGGCTAGAAGCAGAATACAACACAAACACACAAACACACGCGCGCCACAATCACAAACACAGCAAAGATAAGAGAGTGCACACAGAAGCCAACAGGAGAGTAAACACAAAGAGAAAGAGAGAATAAAGAATGAGTAAAAGTGACAAAAACTTGATCGGACACAAGAACACACAGCAGCAAAGATAAAACAAGGAAAGAGAGTACAAAACAGACATGAAGAAGTGAAAAGTAAAGTGAGGGAAAATGACCCTAATTATAAACAAAAGCATGTGAAAGATGGAATTTCCTTTTCAAAATATAGCGAACATCATGAAGGCCCTGTTTTTGTGGCAGTGCAGTGTGCAAGTAGTATTGCAATTGTTTGGAAATTTGGTTTGTGCCGAGTCCAGGACACACAGTGCACAGGTGGGAGGACACGTTAAAACAGGTGGGACGTTCAAACGAATGAGGCAGTGGAAAGCACGTTGTTGTTATTTTGGTGTCTTCAGTTTAGCATCAATTGGCTGCCACTTTGCTGACTTGATCAACAAGCAAACTTAATACTCGGAGCACATGTGCAGCAATGACAGAATGATCCCTAACACATAAATGAAGAATTTTATTTGATTATTTGCCAACCAGTCAATGCATTTAAACCAGAAAAATGCAGCTACTTTAGACTGACTAAGAGGGAATATATTAACCATCACACCTTTCAGCAACTTCTTCGGTATGTTGTGTTGTTGCACGTATATGAAGAAAAATAGCCGGTGCACATGGAGGCAGCACATGATCTGCCCGCACAAGACGAAAAGCTCTGCACACTATAGAGGGCTTTTAGAGCCTGAATCCAAATGTCCACCCTCCAGACTTGCAAACTGCCCGCGTAGTCTTCTGTACATACAGTGATGCGTTCACTGGTGTTGGACCATGAAGGGATTAAATAAAAGTCCACTTGAGGCCCCTTGTAGGCTTCATGAATTGCAGATTTGGACGACCATCAGTATATTTTTATAGAGAATGCACCTCTTATATTCACAAGTGTGTGAAATCTGGACATTTAGAGTCACTTTTGTACAAGGAAACAGTGACAGTTTGTATGTAGCAGTTTGTGTGTCTGTGTGAGTGTGTGTCTGTTTGTATACCCAGAGTGTAGCAGACTGCTGGACAGCATGACATTATCAAGGTGTTCGGCGCCCCAGCTCAGACGGTACGAGTCCTTTTCATGCTCTCTAGACAGGGCTGACACCTATAGACCAACACACATCAGCAGGTTGACCGGAACCAGAAAATCCTAAGGATACCTCAGTAAAGGTCCATCATACACTTTCTGTATGCTTTGTCCTCACCTGGTGGCTTGTGAACATGTCTTCAATGAGAACCCCATCTCTCTGATGGAAACTTTGGTGAATGGGAGTGTGCTGGGGCCTGTTGGAAAACCAAGGCAGATTTTCTGAGTGTCTTTGTATCAATCTGTCTAATTTTATGCTTGTATCTGCATGATGTCACGTTGGTCACTATACTACACTATATATAGTCGATCACGGTATACATGATGTAGCATCTCGCACATGTGCTGTAGTTTGTAAAGTTAGATCTAAAATTATTCTGTTTGTTAAGTGTAAGTATGTGTGTGTGTTTTTTGTGACCTGTCCAGGTTGTGGCTCATATAGCTGAAGCTGTCCAGATAGTGTCCTGGTAGAGAATCATCTCCCAGCTCACGGAGGTCTTCTGCTCTCAGATACTCTCCTCCGTCACCCGTCATAGTGTCCTCGCCTGGGAAACAGATACAACAGTTAAGATACCATAAAAATCACAAAAATACGGCATCTTTATTGCCCGTACTTATGTGAACATTTTTAGATTTACTTGCTATTTTTTATTTCTATGTCAGCTTATCAAACCTCAGAACCTCTGATTTAGTTGAGAAGATGCAGTGGCATTGTGGCAAATTCATTTTGTATGTCCGCACCCTTAAATTAGTGCATCCCTCCATTTAAAATGACACCTTAGTCAACATAGCTGTCATAATCAAATCCACAGTCTGACGTGCTCCATACTTTTCGTGCAGTTAGTTTCCGCCACTTAGTGTCATTAATACACATTCCTCTGAATTCTAATTATAACCTATGAACCATACAGTGTTGTATCAAAGAAGGTGCCTGGACAGCATATTCAGCACATCAACAAACACTGCCATATTAACTCAGAGTCTGTGCGTCGTTAATATGGAGTTTACAAAGTTAAGATTAAAGGGCTAAATTTCTTATTATTTTCTCTTTCTGTTTTGCAAAAAGTCCATGAAATGCTGCACACCAAGCTGGAGGAGCAGAGCATTTGCAGTACCTTCCAGCTCCACAGTCATCTCTGATAATGGCTCATCTTCCAGCCTCAGAGCTATAAAACATACAGTTTTAAGACTCACTGCTGTAAAACTGCATCACATCCAACGCACAGTTTATATCACCACCGCACAAGGAAAAGACATCTACCACTTTTAATACGAGGTCAATTTCACGTTGTAGTGTCTGATGATAAACATTTTCCCTTTCTTGCCTGTAAAACAACAACAATTAGCCTGATTTGGACCAGTTGCACATTTCCTATTTAAAGTAACTCACCTTCTTCATCAGAGACATCCAGGATCTCAGTCATAGTCTCCGGAACATTGAGCTTGTGTTTCTCCGTCACCGTCTGACGTAACATCCAGTCACAGTAATGGAAAAAAAGACCACCGAAAGAGAGAACAGTTAAATTGGATTTTTTGGGGGGAAATTTAGGACAAAACTTACTGGCTCCAGATCTGTAGTTTAAAAATATCACCAGCTTACCGTTGTGGTGGTGATGACCTCCTCAGTGACGACTTTCAGCGTGTCCACCACAGAGATGTAACCCAGACGTCTGGCAATCGACAGAGCGGTGTTTCCATTCTAATAGAGAGAGGAACATTGCATTTGTGTGACAGATAAAAAAAAATAAAATTATCTTGAGACCTGAGTAAATACATGTGCTGTTTTCTCTCTTACCACTGTAGTAGCGTTGGGCTTGGCCCCATGTTGCAGCAAAACATTGATAATGTGTGTGTTTCCTTGTTGTGCTGCCTGGTGAAGGGGTGTGTAACCGTTCTGTACACAAAAAGAGACAAAATTTAGTTTAGTCATTATAAAAAAAAAACAAAAAACGGTGACTTCAATTGTATTTTTCTTGTAACTGCGTTTGTATGCTTCAAATTTAAGATTGGAATGCTACCTTGGTTTTGGTGTTGACGCTGGCACCTTGCTGCAATAGGAAGTTAACCATCTTGACATTTCCATAATGACAGGCCACAATCAGGGGGGTATATCCGAGCTTAGAGTAGAGAGGATGAGAAGAGGAAAAAACTGTTATTTCCACAAGTATCTGATTTGTTTTAATTGTTTGCAGTGAAGTTAATATAGAGTTTAGATTTAAAATAAATTGTCTTGTAAGAAATGATGGCTGATCTAAATAAGCTCTACCTTGACGTATGACCATAAATGTGACTGATAAGTGTGTTGACAACAAAATGCATAGTAAATGTCTGATGCAGACATTGTTATGCTTCCAAAAAGCCAGCAGGTGGCAGATATCTGAATTTGCAAGTCACATTTAAAGATCAGCTGTTAAACACAAACTACAGCAGTGCACACACAGCAACTGAGACATAATTCACACAGGCAAATTCTTGTTCATTTACTCGTCTGTGCCATTTTATAACATCCTGTTTTTGTGCGGCGTGTTTGTGTGTGCATGCATGTGTTTGTACTTTAGTCTGTTGGTCCAAGTTGGCATCGTGCTTGGCCAGTACTTCTGCTGCACTGACTCTGTCCTCTTGGGCTGCGAGATGCAGAGGAGTCAGTCCGGTCTGTAACACACAAAACACAGAGTCATCTCACAGTGTGCACACGGCTACGGTTCTGTGACACTCTATGGGTGCAGTATGCATGTTTCATGTGTGGAAAGCTACAGCTTGTGTGTATGTATATAGAGTATTTATAAGTGAAAGTGTTCATGCAACTAAATTCTTGTTCTGAATCACTGGTTTGCAGTCAACGTACTTACAAAGCAGCACACGGTGTACATACAACTGGTTTAAAATGTGAACACATTTAAAACTGTGTGTATCTGGGTGACCTTGGTGGCAGTGTTGACATGCGCTCCTTTGCCAAGCAGCAGGCTGGCCATCTCAGCGTGTCCTTCCTGGGCTGCCAGGTGTAGAGGGCTGACTCCCTGCTTGGTCAGAACATTGGTCTCTGCTCCGTACTGCAGCAGCGCTAAAGCAATGTTCGTCTGGTTCTTTTTGGCTGCAATGTGCAGAGGAGTGTAGCCATTCTGGACGGAGAGGAAGGTTAGCAGTTAAATACGGTGTTATCGATCTAAAATCAATGGCCAAGGGCTTCTTAACATCAGTCTCGCCTTTTGTTATGCTATCACTCCTGTAACACAACACCATTTACAAGACAGCCTATAGGGGCTGAATGGGTTGAAGGAAACTGTTCACTGAAACAGAAATGAGAGCAGAGAGTATGATATATAAACAACAGTGTGTCTCAAGTATTTTTCCTTTGTCTAACCTTTGCAGTGGCATGAGGTGATGCTCCTTTGTCCAGCAGCAACAGAGCCACCTCTTGGTTGTCATAATGAGCTGCCACATGTAGTGGAGTTAAGCCATTCTGAAAGAAGAAGGATTTACTTATATTTCTGTTATGAAGCAACACACCTTTTAAGATTTTGTCTGTTTTGTGCTGTATCTATCTTCTAGCTTAAAATCTGTTCTGTTTGACTCTGTAAAAAGTCTATTTCAGAGTTACAAATGAATTCTAGACTGAAAGATCAATGCACTGTGGCTCTCACAGAAATTACCCTGAAACCTCAGATCTTGTTAGAGAAAATGCATCTCTGTGTCTTCAGCTCACCTTGCCAGCATCATCAGGAATAGCTTTGCGTTGAAGAAGAAGTTTTGCTACATCAAGGCTTCCATATTTTGCTGCTACATGTAATGGAGTGAATCCTTTCTGTGGACGTAAAAGGGGAAATGTCTACTTAAAACGTGCAATTCCAAACAGATTTTCTAGTCATGTTTAGTTGCACTTGAATTCTTATTTTTATTTTTTGGCCTTTGGCTTCATTTGACAGTTAAGTGGAAGACAGGAAAGTGGGGACAAGACTGGGGGGAGGACATGCAGTAAATGGCCATCGGCCAGATTCAAACCCTTTCATTTATTATTTTGATAGATTTTTTTTGTCAGTTCTTGTCGGTTTACATCACTTTCTTAAACTCTGCTCACCTTGGTGGCCATTGAGTGTGAGGCTCCGGCCTCTAGGAGCACGGCAGCAGTCTCCAGTTGGCCCTCTCTGGCCGAAATGTGGAGAGGTGTGTAGCCGTTGGTGGTGGCAGCATCCGGGTGGGCCATGTGCTGTAGGAGTAGCTGGACAATATCTGTTTTACCCAAACGGGATGCAATGTGGAGGGGAGTCTGGTCCTCCTGTGGATGAAAAAAATAAAGGAAGAAGTGATGTATAGGCAGTAGAATTAGAAACAACAGACACCCTGTAGCCAGAGCTGAGGCAGGAGACATGAGTATGCCTACAATTCTACAATTTCATACAGCAGACGCTCTTATCCAAAGCAACGCACATCTGAGAGTGGATACAACACAAGCAAGGATCTAGTCAGGAGTAAACAATCTAGAAAAGTGCCATAGAACAAGTTCAAGTGTGATAGGGCGTTGATGCCAATAGCAGGCTGTGTGGGAGGTAATAGGAGACTTTTTATTTTTTTTGTTTTTTGTTTGTTTTCAGTCTGTCAAGTGCAAAGGTGTTCAGTGAAGAGCTGAGTCTTTAGTCTTTTCTTAAAGACTGACAGGGAATCAGCAGATTGAACAGAGCTTGGTAACTCGTTCCACCACCGGGCAACCACAGAGGAGAAGAGTCTAGCTATCGACCTCGGGCCCTGTTGCGGTGGTTGTATCAGGCGGCTTTTGTTGGTCGAGCATAGTGAGCGGGAGGGAGTGTAGATCTGAATGAGAGAGTTCAGATAGGAGGGAGCTGTTCTCCTTGTAGTTTTGTAAGCAAGTGTCAGAGTTTTGAATTTGATGCGGGCAGCAACTGAAAGCCATGTATGTGTATGTACAGTATGTAATTCAGTGAATTGAATACACTTATTTATTGTAAACAGAAGGAAACAGTAACTAATTCTGACAATGCTGGTAGCTGACTCACCCTGGCCATGGCATCCACCAATGCTCCGTTTCTTAGCAAACAGCGAACCACTTCCATCTGACCTGCCCGTGCTGCCATGTGGAGAGCTGTCTCACCACGCTGACATGCAAAGACAAAAGCAAGCATTAAGACACTGTGCCGAATGAAAAACTGTACGCAAGAATAGCTGACAACTGTTTGCACAGAGAAACCCGATATTGACCTTTGTATTTCTGACTATTGATCAGTGAGCGGATAAAATTACTACTCACAATGTTACGGACATCCGGAGAGGCTCCGTTCTGCAGCAGAAGTAGAACAATGTTGAGGTGACCCATGAAAGCCGCTACATGGATGGGAGTCAGACCAGACTAGAGGAGGAAAGATAGAGAGATTCAGGAACAAATTCAGGAATATAGAAAGATTCAGGATGATGAGCTTAAAATGCACATTTGCAACAGTGTGAAAGAAACCGTGTTTCATATTTACACAGGCCATTCTCACCTCAGTAATTGCCTGGATTGAGGCGCCGTATTTGACGAGCAGCTCCATCACCTTCACTCTGTTCTTCTTACAAGCGATGTGGAGAGGAGTAAAACCATTCTAGTAGAGAGAATTAAAAATTAAAAATTGAAAATAAAAAAAAAACATTTCTATATGATCTACAGCAAGGGAAGAGGTTTTGCTTTTATTTTACTGCTGGCCCTTTATTTTATAGATGATTTGCTTAAGAGCATTTATATGGAAGAATGATGAATTACATTTAGAAATTGTTTACTGGTAAATCATTAGATACATAACCATTAGTGTCACTCTCCCAGTCTGTAAATGTGTTTACTCATATATTTATGAGCATATTAATGCCTGTTTTGGTGCTTTTGTAGCTGTTATTTGAATCCCTACCAGTGCTCTTGCATTGGGATTGGCCTTCTTGTCCAGGAGCAGCTTGGTGACTCTGTAGTGGCCACAGTGAGCTGCGACGTGCAGCGCCGTGAGGTAGTCGAGCGTGACATCATCAACAGGCGCCTTGTGTTGCAGCAGCAGTTTCACGCACTCTATGTGGTCTCCCTGGGCCGACATGTGCAGCGGGGACAGTCCGTTCTGCACAGGTGCATGGACGGATGCAAAAGGTCAGAAAAAGCAAGGCACTGAAGAAAGTTTTGGCAAAGATGAAAAGCAAAAGGAGGTGAAAACATAGGTAAAATATACAATGGGCTTTCCAGGTGAAATACAAGCGCAAGCCTGAGATTTTCTGACTGTATCCTGCAGCAAAATTTTTTTATTTTTTATTTAGTGGTCCAAAAAAATCAGAAATGAAGAAGCCTCTTGAATGGGAAGTGAAACATCATCTAGAAAAAAAAGACCACTGGAGCTCTTAGGATTGCCATGAATGACTGAGAGTATACACAGACATCTGAAGTATGCCGACCCAGTAATAGCACAAACGTTTACTACCTTGGTCCTGGCTAGGATGGGCGCTCCTCTCTCCAGTAGAATTTCCACTGCTGGGTCATGTCCGCTCCTGGCTGCACAGTGCAGCGGCGTCAGACCATCCTGAGAGACAACCACACATGTACAGACAAAGAAAACACATAAATATACATACATTAATCCAATTCATTTGTTTTCACAACTGGGAGTCCTTACACTCTGCTAAGCAAATATTCAATTATTAAATAAAAGCTGATGTCCAGACTTTAAATAAGAGTCTCACCCTGGTTTTGGCATCTATCTGACCCCCGCGATCCAACAACAGGGCCACCATGTTGGTGTTGCCTCTCTTGGAGGCCACATGAAGAGGTGTTATTCCATTCTGTCACGGCAGATAAAGAAACAAATTAGACAGAACTTTACCACACACATTAAACAAACTACATAGGCAAAAATACAATGCATTATTGTGTGCATTATATGGGAGTTGACATGACAGAAAGGGCTATTTTTGTATGATTTTCATTGTTCTGTTTTTATTGAGTATAAGGCAATCATGGGAAATAACATCACTAACTAAAAAAAAAATATTGAAAGAGTTCATAAAGTTCATGTACTAGTCTCAGGAAGACAATGTAGCTGAAAATATGCAGGAAAATGTATTTTTTTTTGAAAGGCTAGTGATAAATGTGTTGTTATTAAATTAAAAGAGAAAGTTATGATGGTAAATCACAAACATGCTGTTCTACAAGCGTCAAAATTAAAGAAAAGCCACACACATCAAGTTTTATTAGACTGAGTGTGACAAAGACAGTCTCTTGATGTGCTAAGAAGTAGAAATGGGGCTGTACCCTAGCTGTGAAGTCGACAGCAGCTCCTCTGTTCAGCAACAGGGTGGAGACATTCACGTTACCATAGTGAGCTGCGATGTGCAGAGGGGTGAACCCACTCTGTTTCAAGACAGAAAACAAGAGAGGAGGGAAGAACAGAGTGAGAGGGAAAGGAAACGAGTCAGAAGGCCACAAATCAGCAGGTGAGGAAAGAAAGAAAGAAAGAAAGAAAGAAAGAAAGAAAGAAAGAAAGAAAGAAAGAAAGAAAGAAAGAAAGAAAGAAAGAAAAGGTTTTTTTTTCTGTGGCAGATACAGGACAGAAACCTGATTCTACTGAAGCAGTATTATGATGAGCCAGCATGCTGAAAACAGACACGGTGGTGTAAGACGAAGCATTAAAAAATGAGCATAGACCAAAATAGGACATGCAATGCATAATACATGCAAAATCCCTGTAATTCTGCCATGCTTGCTAGAAAAAAAGGTGAAAAAAATCTTAACAGTTTGGTTTCAAAGATACCAAAAAACAAAAAACAAAAAACAAACTTCAAAATAAAGGGCATTAAACACCAGAACTCAAATACATAGAGCAACTACATGTATACTCGCAAATACTTGTATCTGCTTGAATGGACAAATGGACATTTATATATATATAGTATAAGCATTATATATAAATATCTACAGTATATATTTTTAGGTCGGTGCACTCCTTACCTTCCCATTCTGATAGTCATGGTGCAATTTAATTAAAAAACAGAGTTAACTTAAAGATCGGCAATGTGTTTCAGAGAAGAAAAACAACGCTATTACCATGCTCAAAAGTACACATGCTGTAGGTTATGCAGAGAAAAAGAATAACAAAAATGTTTTTGAATGCTTTCAGTGTTTTACTCAAGTATTAAAATGTGTACCACGAATACATAAAGAATTATTCATCATTTTAAAAATAAAAAAATAAAAAAGAAACGTGAAACAAATCATCTGTCATCAAACGCAATAAACTAACATTCTCTGGGAACTATTTGAGTGTTTTACTGTCAGCCATGCAGTGTGTGGTACAGCATAGTCAGTTCCATGCATTCATATTAATGGTTCATAATTGTGACGTGTCAGAATGTCACAATGTCAGGATAAAAGAGCTGAAAGAGATGGTCAGAAGTGAGCAAACAAACAAAAAAAAAATGAAGAGGTGATGAGTCTGTATACCTCTGTGGTTCTATTGACCATCATCTGGTTAGAAGGCATAAAAGAGAGAAAGGGGGAACAGGGTGTAGGGTTGTTAGGGAAAGGACTTAACACAACATTCATACAAAACACAGGGTAAGTTTAAAAGGTCACACAGTTAGAAAACGAAATGCAGTGACAAGGAAGAGCACAACAAAGCATCTGAGGAGATGACTGATCTGTCATTTTATTATATTCCTCAGCAGACA